TAAATCTGTAACAGAATTTGTTTCTAACAAAAGTCATGAACTCTAATAAAAAGGTTTAGGAAATAGTCTTGAATAGTCTAATAAAGTAAGCATTATTTTGGTTCGTTTTTACATAGTACAGATAAACAAATTTTATTTGTTCGTTTGCTTTGTGCAGGTTGCTGTTCTGAACATCAATGGTGAAGAAGGATGGGCACAGTCCGCTGTCAGGTGTATGAGGTTCAAATCCAGCCCTATTGCTGGCAGTTCTGTGATCTCTTCATACCTAATCTCCATCTGTGGAATATTAATATTGCCTCCCTCCTAGAGTTGTTGTGAGGATTAAATTAGATCATATATGTAGAGCACTACCATAGGGCTGGATACTTAATAAGCTATCAATAAATATAATTAATATTAATAGTATAACGGTAATCTGTGTACACATTAGTCACCAGAGTACTACAGTCATATAAAAGGTGGGCTAAAAGCCTCCAACACTACCACTAGGGGACAGGAAGAGGAAGAAACGCCAGTAAAGCTCTATTGTTTAAACAGGACTACGCCTAAAACAGATGTCCTGTTTTAAAGGCCTCTGGAAAAGGAGAGTCTACAGCTCCTCTTGGTTACTCATTCCAATGCTTAATTGCTCTTTAGCAGCCAGGAAAGTCTATGTCTTATCTGGCATTTCCCCAACTGTGTAACACATATATTAATAATGTTCCTTTAAAAATAATTAAAAACAACAACAAAAAAATCTGGTGATAAAGTAAATTTAGGCAATGCTAGGTTAAGTGAGGTTAAATAGGTTTACTGCGAGAAATTCTTAAACTAATAGGCTAATGTTCATGAGAATATAGAAAAGGAGAGAAAAAAGCACAGTGTGCAATATTTATGGAGTTTAATATTTGATGGAATATAGTTTGAGAAATGATGATCTCACCTAGGTGAGAAGTTTGCAACTATCTCTTTTTCCTATTTTTAAAACATACAGTTATCATCCTCTGCACACTTGCCTTTTATCACATGTACTTCAAACGTATTCCTAAATTGTTCTTCAGTTTGTCTTTAACTTTAGAATGACTAAGACCAAGGATTTATGTTGGTAAAAACAATAACAAAACCCAAGAGAGAAAGGGTTTCTTAAACCACACAGAAAGGAACACTGTGAAGATTAATGCCCCTTCTATAGAGATGATCCTAAATACCTCCTGAAGGAAAAAAAAAAGTACCATAGAAAGGATTAGGAATCAGAATGACACTGAACTTCTCAACAGTAACACTGGAAGCTAGAAAATCAATAGAACAATGTTGCTAACATTCAGAAAAAAAAAATATATTTCCAACTTAGAATTTTACATTCAGTTAAATCATCCATACTTGATGATTTAACTGAGTCTAAAATTCTAAAGCAGTAAAGACATTTAACTGAGTGTAAAATTCCTGAAAGTAAAGATATTTTCAGAAAGATAAGGTGACCAGAAAAGTTACCTCCCATGTACTCTTTCCCAGGGTTCTCCACCAGAACCAAGGAAGGCAAAAGATGGGACCAGGAAACAAAGGATCTGAACATGGGAGAGAGGTGGAAGGAGGTCCCAGGCTACAGATGCAGAGCAGCCTATAGAAGATACATGAAGAAGAAGGCCAGGTGGGATCACCTGAGAAACCAGAATGCCTGATATGTTTGACCACTTTGAGAGGAGTTTTTATCACTTTATCAGAGAGTTTGAGGATGAATTAGTGATGAGTACATAGCAAGAAACCACAACAAAATGAGCAATGACTAAGTGAAAAAAAAAAATTAACTCCGGAAAAGTACATAGCTAAGCAGGACAGGAAACAGAATCATAGCACACTGCTTGGCTCAACCTTAAGTAGCACTTTCAGTTATTACAATGTAAGCACAGACAACTGATTTAACTCCAAATTACAAGTAACTGAATTGTGAAGATGGAGGGCAGGGAGAAGTGTGTGTTTTGGAAAAGGGAGTATTGTAGTAAAAGGACTAAATTATTATCTTACACAGTAAGAAGTCAATGGATAAGAACATAATTTAAAAAATAATAGTATTAGTATGTTATTATTATTATTATTTTATTTTGAGACAAGGTCTCTCTCTGTTGCCCAGGCTGGAGTGCTGTAATATGCGATCACAGCTCATTGCACAGCCAAACTCCTGGGCTCAAGCAATCCTCCAACTTCAGCCTCCCAAGTAGCTGGGCCCACAAGCCTGTACCACCACTGGTGGCCAATTTTTGTATTTTCTGTACACACGATGTTTCACCATGTTGCCCAGGCTGAGATCACATACTCCCGGGCTCAAATGACCTGCCCACCTTGGCTAACCAAAGTGCTGGGATTACAGGCATGAGCTACCACGCTTGGCCAATAGTGTATGTTATTCTAGAGATAAGAAGGTAAATGACAGAAGAAATATGTGAAAGAGTTGAAATCATTGCCTATGAGGAGTGAGATTTAGCTGTGGGACTGAGGATCTCTTCTTCACTGAAAGCTGTACACAATCTGGCTTTTAAAGCTATGTATAAGTGTAATTTGATAAAGGTAAAAATTAAGCTAAAATTAAATATCTTTTAATTGTAATATCCTTCCACGATTTTTCCTAACAGAGGGAGTAAGTCCATTCCTTGCATGTGTTGCCATCCTCTTAAAAGGAAGTATCATGCAATCATCTGTAAAATTGGAAAAAATTTTAATGTAGTTTCAAGTAAAATGAAAGAAAAATCAGAAAACAGTTTTGATACTGAGCAACAAATGGCTCTCCTTTTGACTCAAGCATTTAAAAAATAAATCCTACTAACTCACTTCTTTTCCTTCATGTATCCTGAGTTTTGTTTAGCAAAGCAGGAAAAGATTCTGGAACCCATCAGCAGAAATACAATTTAGTAACAATAGCTAACAAATTGTTAAGCACTTACTGTAAATAGTCCTATGTTGTAATATACAATTATTGTTACCACCTAACAGATTAAAAATATTAGACATAAAAAGGTTAAGTGACTTGCCCAATGTTAAATAGGTATTGAAGCTAGAGTTTACATTCTGTCATGATTTCTGTGAATACAGAATCTTTTATTATGGGCACTGTGAATTAAGAAAACGGTCAGAGGCCGGGCATGGTGGCTCATGCTTGTAATCTCAGTTCTTTGGGAGGCTGAGACGGGAGGATCACCAGAGGTCAGGAGTTTGAGACCAGCCTGGCCTACATGATGAAACCTTGTCTCTACTGAAAATACAAAAATTAGCCAGGTGTGGTGGTGCTGCCTGTAGTCACACTACTTGAGAGACTGAGGCAGGAGAATGAATCGCTTGAACCTGGGAGACAGAAGTTGCAGTGAGCCAAGATCATGTCAGTGCACCCCAGCCTGGGTGACAGAGCAAGATACCATCTCAAAAAAAAAAAAAAAAAAAGATTAGAAATGAATTCTTTGGTGCATCATTTGCTCTTCAATATAAACAAATGTATTTTCATTTTGTTGTCTACTTAGACTATATTAAAAACCAAATTCGATGTTTCTGTGGTTTGATTTCCCATTGATAGCTTTGAGATTGAAACATTCTAATATGTATATTTACATGCAAATTTCTTTATAATAAGCCAGAAGGTCTCACAGAAAATTTGCAAATTCAGATCAACAAAGGGTATTAGAAAGATCATGCTTTTTATTATTATATTTTATTTAAATTATTATTTTTTGAGGCAGAATTTTGCTCTGTCACCCAGGCTGGAGTGCAGTGGCACAATTATGGCTCACTGAAGCCTTGACCCCCTGCACTCAAGTGGTTCTCCTACTTCAGCCTCCCAAGTAGCTGAGACCACAGGGCATGCACCACCACATTCATCTAATTTTTTGATTTTTTTTTTTTTTTTGTAGAGACAAGGTCTCACTATGTTACCCAGGCTGGTCTCAAACTCCTGGGCTCAAGCAATCCTCCCTTCTCAGCCTCCCAAAGTCTTGGGATTACAGGCATGTGCCACTATGCTGGGCCCATGTTCATTTTAAAAAGCACATTTTCTCTTGCATGAGCCACGTCTTGTCTAGAAAGTTTGCTTATGCTAGTCCTGAGGTATCAGGACACGGAAAAGATTACAGGATTATACCCTCACCCATAGAACCATTTCTTCTGCTTCCTCAGCAAAAATTCATTATGGTCAAACTAGCTCAAGCTTTGTTCCTCTGCTAAAAGTACCTTCATGCATTTGTAAAGATAGATGTTAATTAGATGATAATCTAATTAGGAGTAAGAATATATCTGTAAAAGGTACATCTGATAAAGCAGTGGTTCCCAACCTCCAGGTCCGGACCAGTACCAGTCCATGGTGTGGGAGGAATCAGGGTCCACAGAAGGTAAACTGCTGATGAGCCTGAGCTCTACCTCCTTTCAGATCAGCGGTGGCAGATGCTCATAGCAGCACAAACCCTACTGTGAACCGTGTATGCAAGGGATCTAGGTTGCACCCTCCGTATGAGAATCTAATACCTGATGATCTGAGGTTGACCAGTTTCATCCCAAAACCATCCCTGCCCCACCCGAGTCCACGGAAAAATGGTCTTCGATGAAATTGGTCCCTGGTGCCAAAAAGGTTGGGGACCGCTGTAATCAAGGACTGTTATCTGAACTATACAAAGAACACTTAAAACTCAATAATAAGAAAGTGAACAACCCAATTTAAAAAATGAGCAAAAGATCTGACAAGACACTTCATCCAAGAAGATATACAGATGGCATGTGAACACGTGAAAAGATCTTAAACATCATATGCCATTAGAGTATTGCAAATTAAAACAATGAGATACCACTAAAAATAGAATGGCCAAAATCTAAAACACTAACACCACCAAATACTGCTGAGGATGTGGAGCAACAGAAACTCTGATTCATTGCTGATGAATGAATGGCATAGCCACTTTGGGAAACAGTGTGATCGTTTCTTATAAAACTAAACATATTCTTACCATATGATCCAGTAATCACACTCCTTGGTATTTTTGCAAATTAACTGAAAACTTAAGTCCACACAAAACCCACACACAGAGGTGTTTATAGCATTTCTATTCATAATTGCCCAAACTTCGAAATAACCAAGACACATTTCAGTAGGTGAATGGATAAACTGTGGCTCATACAAATAATGAAATATTTTTCAGTGCTGAAAAGAAATGAGCCATCAAGCCATGGAAAGACACTCAGGAATCTTAAGTGCATACTGGTAAGTAAAAGAAGTCAATCTGAAAAGTATACATATGGTATGGTTCCAACTATACAACATTCTGGGAAGGGCAAAACTATCAAGACAGGAAAAAGATAAGTGGTAGTCAGGAGTTAGGGGGAGAAAGAGATGAACAGTTGGACCCCAGAGGATTTTTAGTGCAGAGAAAATGTTCTGTGTGATGACTCTATAATGGTGGATATGTGTACTTATACATTTGTCTAAACCCAGAGAATGTACAGCACCAAGTGTGAATCCTAACATAAACTATGGACTTTGGGTGATAATGATGTGTCAATGGGGTTTATTGATTGTAACAAGTGTACCACTTGAGTGCAGGATGTTGATACTGGGGAAGACTGTGCATGGTGGGGACAGGAAGTATATGGCAACTCTTTGTACTTTCTGACCAATTTTGCTCTGAATGTAAAACTGCCCTAAAAAATAAAGTTATTAATTAAAACATAAAAAAGAAGAAGAATGTTGTTTAGGTCAGAAAAAAGAAGCTGGAATGTTTTCCCTGGCTAGCTCCCCCTCCACATTTTGGTTTTGGCTTCACAGTGATAGGGGAATGAAAATGGGGGAAGAGGAGAGGAAAAGGAAAAATGCAAGGAATGATCCAGAACAGTGTGTAACGACTCAGAAAGGAGAGTGCCACCACAGATCTGCCAGAGCACCATTTCCCTGCTGTGCCCACCCTCAAATATTATAAAGGACTTCCTGCAACTGGGAAAAGACAGACAGAGTCAGGGTTTTAAATCATACTTTACTACTGAAAGTCTTCTAATAGCTTGGAATTACCATAGAAGGAAAGCCACTTTCTTACTCAGAGTTGTTTAGTTTGGCAAAACCATGTAATAATCTATGTTCTTTTGAAATTATGTTTTAAATATGCTGTGCCAAGCACTCTTAATGAGAAGACAAGGGTCTTAAGCTAAACAGACACTGAGAACAAAAGTGTCAAAATGGATACAGCCAGATCACTAGTGGTTATGAGCTGATTTGAAGATTTTCACTAGTTATACTATATAGTATCTTAAAATGTATTACAATGAGATATTAAAGTATACATAGTAGACACTTTTCATACTTTCAATCTTTCTCCTGAGCACTATAAAAAATATTCTAGGCTGGGTACAGTGGCTCACTTCTATAATTTCAGCACTTTGGGAGGCCAAGGTGGGAGGATCACTTGAGCCTAAGAGTTCAAGACCAGCTTAGACAACATAGTGAGATCCTGTCTCTACAAATTTTTTAAAAAATTAGCTGGGTATGGTGATGTGCTGAGGGCCCAGCTACTCAAAGAGGCTGAGGTGGGAGGATCACTTGAGCCCAGGAGGTTGAGGCTGCAGTGAGCCATGACCCAGCTTGGTGACAAAGTGAGACTCTGTCTCAAAAACAACCACGACCACAACAAACTACATGAAATCATTTGATATAATTGAACATTCATTCATAGTTTTTTTAAAAAATAAAAAGCCTCTTAGGAAGGAGAGGAAACTTCACTAGTCTGCTAAAGAATATCTATAGAAACCAAACAAATAAACAAACATCATAGAGCGGCCATCATACCTGATGGGGAAATACTTAAAGCTTTCCTCCTGAGATCACCAACAAGGTAATGATACTGTCATTACTTCTACTTACCACTGTACTGAGATCCATTCAGTGCAACAAAGGAAAAAGACACAGAAGAATTGGAAAAGAAAAAATAAAACTAAAACTAACATTACTTACAGATGACATGACTGTGTTTTTTGTTTTTGTTGTTCATTTTTGTTTCTTTTTCTTTTCTTTCTGAGACGGAGTCTTGCTCTGTTGCCCAGGCTGGAGTGGAGTGACATTATCTTAGCTCACTGCAGCATCTGCCTGTCAGGTTTGAGCAATTCTCCTGCCTCAGCCTCCCAAGTAGCTAGGATTACAGATGCATGCCACCACACCTGGCTAATTTTTTTGTATTTTTAGTAGAGACAGGGTTTCACTATATTGGCCAGCCTGGTCTCGAACTCCTGAACTCAAGTGATTCACCCACCTTGGCCTCCCAGAGTTCTGGGATTATAGGCATGAGCCACTGCACTATGCAGACTGTGTTTTTAAACATCCACAAAAAACCCATTATAGTTAGTAAAATAATTTAGCAATGTTGCTGGGTACAAGGCCAATATTCAAAAACCAATTATATTTCCATAAAACACCAACAAGTAGAAAATGAAATTTAAAAATTATTTTTTCAACAGCATCAAAATAATCAAATACCTAAGGAACAAAAATCTAACAAAAATATGTGTAAGATCTCTACAATGAAAACCCAAAAATACTATTGAAAAAAAATTTAAAAAGTAAGTGAAAAGATAGTCCATGTTCATGGACTCAATTTTGTAAAGCTTTCAATTATCTCCCCATTTATTTATAGATACAGAACAATTCCAATCAAAATCCTAGCACTTTTGTGTGGTAATTGATGATATGCTGAGTCTAAAATTTATGTGGAAATTCAAAAGGCCAAATGGCAAGGCAATCTTGAAGGAGAAGAAAAACACTGGAGGATTTTTACTACCAGATATCAAACTATTTATAAAGTTACAGTACTTAAGATAATCTTAGTTGGTGCACAAATAGAAACATAGACCAATACAATAGAAGAGTAAGTCCAGAATAAATATGGTCACCTGGTTTATGACAAAAATGTCACTGCTGGGTAGCGGGGAAATGATGATCTTTTTAATCAATGAAGTAGGTCAACTGGATATCCACAGGGAAAGAGATAAACCTTTACCTTACAACATAAGCAAAAATCAATTCTGTGTGGATTACAGATCTAAATGTGAAATACAAAACCAGAAAACTTTTAAAATAAAAACCCAGTTTATCAACCTTGGAGTAGGTAAAGCTTTCTTCAAAAGGATATAAAAAGCACTTACTTACATTTTTCTTAAAAGAAAAATCTAGTATATCAGACTATATTAAATTAGAAATGTCTGTTTATTAAGTAAGTGAAAAAGCACACAGAGTAAGAAAAGATATTTACAATACATGTATCTGACAAGGTATGCTTTAGAATGTTTACCTAAAATTCTCAATATAAAAATGGGTGAAAGACTTGAACAGGTACTTCACAAGAAAGAATAGCCAAACGACAACAAATACTTTTTAAAGTACTCAATTTTTTAGGCATCAGAAAAGAGGGGATTAAAATTAGTATATGATACCAACGCACCCACCAGAATGGCTAATGTGAAAAAGACAAAGAATGCCAAGTACCAGTGATGGTATGGAAGAGCCAGAACACTCACACACTTCTGGTAAAAGTATAGATTTCTAGAGCCCTGTTCTGAACTGTTGGCAACATCTCCTGAAGCTCAACATACTCTATTATTGGCTGAAGCATATAGCTACCAGAAATGCATATGCTTGTTCACTAAAAGACCTATAGAACAATGTTCATAGCAGTACTACCTGCAATACTGAAAACCATCTGAATGCCCATCAACAGTGGGATAAATACATTGTGATATATTTATTCAGTGAAACACTATACAGTAATGTGAATGAAGTACAATTACATTCAATAGTGTGATTAATCTCACAAATAAATGCTAAGCAAAAGAATCCAGACACAAAAGAGTAAACAATGTATAATTCCATTTACATAAAATTTAAAACCGGGCAAAATTTATCAACGAGTTACAAATTAGAGTAGTCAGAGGGCTTCTGGGATGCTAGTATTGTTCTGTTTTTCTGTCTGGGTGCTAATTTCACAAGTATGTTCACCTGTGAAAATGATTTGTGCATTTTTCTCTATGTATATTATACTTCAATAAAAGGGTTAATTAAGAGACAATGTTCCATATGGGTCCTAGGAGTAGGAGATGACAGAAGGAAACATGCAGACAAACCAAATAAGCCAACAAAAACTCTTCCAGTTGTGTTAAAAGGATTGACATAGAATTTTAGGATATTCACTTAAAAATTATTCCATTCAGAACTTATAAAACAGTATTAAGACCGGCCATGATGGCTCATATCTGTAATCCCAGCACTTTGGGAAGCCAAGATGGGAGGATCACTTGAGGCCAAGAGTTTGAAACCATTCTGGGCAACATAGCCAGACCTTGTCTCTATAAAAAGTAACAAAAAGAACAACAAAGAAAGAGTGAAACAACTGTATTAAAATCATTCTTTTCAAAAAAACCAATAAAAGTATTTTAATAAACTATCTGTTTTTGTAACCTGTTTCCTTGCACAATGAAGGCTAAATACATATTCAACCAAGGACTTCAAATCAGTGTAAATGGTGGAAGTAAAAATTCAAAGGGTGTACATTTTATCTAAAAGAGTAAAGTAGGCTGGGCACGGTGGCTTACACCTGTAATCCCAGCATTTTGAAAAGCTGAGGCAGGTGGATCACTTGAGATCAGCCTTGCTAACATGGTGAAACCCTGTCTCTATTAAACATACAAAAATTAGTCAGGCATGGTGGTAGGTGCCTGTAATCCCAGCTACTCGGGAGGCTGAGGCGGGAGGATTTGGGGCAGAGGTTGCAGTAAACTGAGATGGCACCATTACACTGAATCCTGGGTGACAGAGTGAGACTCTGTCCCAAAAAAATAAAATAAAAGAGTCAGTAAGTAGTAAAAGTTTTATTTTTGCTTTACAACTATTTGGCTTGTATGTAAGGTCTATTCTGCTTTACAAGGACATTGTATTTTTAATCAATGCAACAATTTGTTTTTTCCAAATTCAAATGCCTACATCAAGAGTCTTGTATTTGGGAAGTTACTATGTTTGGATCAGCTGAGTTGTCTTTTGAGGCATTCCATTTAAATTAAACAAAGTTACTGAGTTAAATCCATTCAAGCTACCAATGTTTTAAAATTACATTTTCTTTGTATCAACAATCTATTTTATAAACCTTGCTTCTTGAAAGTTACCATCATATTTTACCAGAGTGTTTCTCTTTCCCAAACCTCCTGATTTTAGTTTTCTTTGGCATTTTTCTTTCTCTATATCTTCAGCTCAGTGAATGTTCAACCAGTAATCTAAAACCTCAAATCAAGGTAACTAATCACCTAATACTATGGGCAAGGTGTTTTTCAGGCCTCACAAAAACACATAATATTGTAGTTCTTGAGAGGCTTACAAAGGTGAGAGATATTTAGTAACAGAAGGAAGTACAGAGACAAGACTTATGATAGAGATAGTAAGTACTTTAAAAATGTGAAAAAGAAAGACACTAACATGTCCTAAAATAATCAGAGATAGCTTTCTGGTAGAGATGAGTTTGGAATTATGCATAGCCATTGGGATTAAGATATGGATGGTCGGCCGGGCGTGGTGGCTCACGCCTGTAATCCCAGCACTTGGGAGGCCGAGGCGGGTGGATCACGAGGTCAAGAGATCGACACCATCCTGGTCAACATGGTGAAACCCCGTCTCTACTAAAAATACAAAAAATTAGCCGGGCATGGTGGCACGTGCCTGTAATCCCAGCTACTCAGGAGGCTGAGGCAGAATTGCCTGAACCCAGGAGACGGAGGTTGCGGTGAGCCGAGATCGCGCCATTGCACTCCAGCCTGGGTAACAAGAGCGAGGCTCCGTCTCAAAAAAAAAAAAAAAAAAAGATTTGGATGGTCATTCATATTGAAATCCCAAGAAAAAGATACATGTCCCTGTCATCAATGTGCCCTTCATATTACACGATACTGCTTAAGAAATATACTAAGTGTATATAGTAGCAAAGGTGATTAGATTTTGTATACGGCATATAACTGAAAATTGAATTGGTTTCTCCTGAGTTAACTGTTTACACATCTTGGGTAACTGTGGCTAGAAATGTGGTTGTATCAACAGCAAGGAGGTCTCTTTGTAAATGCGAAGATTTCTATGTAAATCTGGCCATCCCATATCAAACTCAATTTGGTTCTTCTTAGCATCATATTTTAATTCACCAAGCAAACTTGCCCAATCTATCTAATAGGTCTATAATTTTATTTACAAAACTAAAGGCAGGGCTTTATGTAAAGTGTTGACAATAGTAAGATAATATTTAGCGATCTTACATCAAGCATACTTAATTGCTAACGCAAGCAAAATAGTAAGAATAATGAGAATATTTTACTTTTTCCTAAAGATCTGACTTAAAAAGACACAAGGGGAGATATAATGTTCACGTTGTCTGGAACGTGTGGAAAATATTAAAACCCCTGTTTTGTTACTTAGTTTTACCACTGGCTCTTTGCCGAAACAAGTAATTGAACCTTGGTTTCTTTCTTCTGGAACTATGATTAATAATATGGATTTATCAGATAATACCTAAGTATTCTGAAAAAATGCTAAGGAAAAAAGTTTAAGAGAGTAAACAATAAGTCCAACTTAATTACCCACATTAACCACAGTAATAGAAAACTTTAGATAGCATGGATAATGAAAATCTATATGAACTTCCATTTTAAAGATGAGAAGAAGACAGGACTGACATGTCTGGCACCTATTACACATCAGGCAATTAATACATTAAGTGCTTTATATGTTAGATATCAGCTATTTAAATAAGCTACTCTTTTTCAAACATTGCTAGCAAATAAGTGTTTTGGAGGTTCAAATGAATGAATAATAGAAGTATCAAAAGGTAGGCACATTTGCAGAAGAAGCCAGGGATCTGGGTAACTCACAAACGAATGATGTTAAAATTAATATTCAAATGATATTTAATGAATGCTATTCAAACTAATGGAGGGACATGGTACAAATAACTCTAACAGATAATTCAAAACATATTTGTGCTTGATTTGTAGCATACCCACTATTTGGTTTGTTTATATTAGCATTGGTTTTAGAATAATATTTAACATACACTAAAATTTTGTTTTTATTTGCTAAATACACTCCAGTATCTGACCTTAGGAGAAGATCAGCTTGGTATTAATAAGTCAACAAGAACTAATTATACTTATTATGTGTTTGGCATTTGTGGAATACAAAATAAAACATGGATCTTTTCTTCAGTGACTATATAATTTGGCTTAGGGAATATATAAAACAGGAAACAGTACCAGACAGTTCTAACTCAGGGCTAAATTGTGTGATAGAAGCCATAAATGTTAGAGGATTCTATTCTTTCATTTAGCAAGTATTAATGAGCACTACTATTCAGGTATTTGGAATATATCAGTGAGTGAGCAAACTAGACAAAGATCTCTGCCTTCATGGGGTTAACATTCCAGGGAGATGAAGCAGACAATAAGCAATAAATACAATCCATCAATAAATTACCTGGCATGTTAGAAGATGATAAATGCTTTTTAAATAGGAAATTGTAGAGTAGAAGAGGAAGGGCAGTGGGGAGGATAGGTAATTCTCCTATCCTAGGATGGGGAAGGCCAAGGTCATCCTCACTCGAAGGTGAGATTTGAGCCAAGTTTATTATAGGGAGTTGACAGAGGTACCCCAGAGGATGCCAGAGGAAGTGGGTCCTGGACAGGAACAAGAGCTAGGGCAGGTACACGAAGGCTGGAGAGCATCTGGAATGTGGCAGGAACAGCAAGGAGGCTGGTGTGCTTGGAGCAGAGTAGGTGGAAGAGAGAAAGGAGAGAGAGAGGACCAGAGGGGTGAGTTGGGGTGGGGATGGGTGGAGTGACGGATCTGACTCACATTTTAGCAGCATCCCTCTGGGTCACTGGTTGAGACTAGTCTTTTGGGAGGTTAGGATGGAAGCTGAAAAACCCATCAAGAGGCTGGTATCCAGGCACAGACCGTGGCCTGGACCAGGCTGAAGGCAGTGGAGGAGGCAGAAGACAGGTATTCTGAACATATTTTCAGTTTACAGGAGAGAGGGGGCAACGAACAGCAATGTATTCAGAGAATGCTTCATGGAGTAGAGGTTCCTTGAAGCTGACCTTGAAGGACAGGGAGGATTTGAAAAGGCGGAAGAATTAGGAAAGGCATTCCAGGACATAATAGGCCTGGAGCAAGCGTGAGTATGGCTTATTCTTGGGACAAAGAGACGTGTGAACAGAGCAGGGCAGGCCAATGCCTGGAATATGGTGAGAAATAAGGTAAAATATAAAAAGTACACCTAGACTATAAAGAGCTTTGAAAGCCAGGGAAAAAGTGTCTAGATTTCACAGCATTCACTATGGTGCCTTGAAAACAGGCACTCAATAAATATTATTAGTTGACAATAAAGATAGGCATTTTAGGACCACTGGCAGTTTGCAATGGATGGCAAAATTTCTCATTTAGAAAGTCGGCTAACAGGCCATACAAACACCTGGCATGAGGTGATGCAGAATAACTCCCTTGTAGGCTATTGACAGTTGTCTCTTTTAAATATGCTTTACAGTGTTAACCACAAGTGCCATTCACCACTTGTGGGAACCTTGATCTTGTGTTGGCAATCCCTTGCTCAAATAAAAATTACACAGTTTAAAACACTGTGTACTCAAATAGCCACATGATCTTGATTCCGAAGTTGTGAGAGTTGGATGGCAGTTGCTATCAGTTACATGTGCAATTTCTGCGTCTCTAAATTAGTTACAGGTGCAAAACTGCATTTACCAAAAAAACAAACAAAAAAAAGACAATCTGGTAGAAGTTTATAGAAACTTAATTCCATTCAAATGAGTCTAATTCATTATCACTTATATTTTCACAAATTTTCGGCACTAGTAGATGGATATGAGGCATTTACTGGACAACCTCTAAATGTCCAAAGGGAGTTAGCAGCACAGAAGCTCTGTACCACTTTTGTTGATCTAAGACAATGAACAAATTTACTTTGCCCAGATTTCCTCTGACTCAAGGAATATGTGGCTAACACAAGAGCTATGAAGATTTTAGAATTTCCCCAGGGTTATCCTAGCAAAGTTGTAAGTGAGAATGCTGACAAAAATAGTAATATATGACAACCTCTATGAGAGGTATAAAAATTGTCTTCATTTAATGACTCATGTTTTATACTACAGTTGGCAGATTAAATGAATAGTTGTTGTCAGGGAGCTTTCAAGACAAGTTGTATTCCTTAGAGATAGTAGAGGAAACTAAAATTAAAAATGAAACCCTGTATTGTCTTGTAAACTGCTCATGTAAATGACATTTCTTTCAGGTGTTTCCTATAATTCATAATTTTGAAGGAAGGTATGAGACAAATGACAGTTTTCAGAAAAACAGTAATTTTCAGGGTCTAGAAATCTATAAAATCTGCAAAGTCCTGGTGATGAAGAGGTTAATTAAATAACACTAGAGCCATACTCAGAAAAAAATTAATACAGACAATAGTAAAATTCAAGAAAAAAAATCTTAAATTCTAATTACGTGTGAAATTATGGAATTCAGGGGCGGGCTGTGGTGGCTCATGCCTATAATCCCAACACTTCGGGAGGTCGAGGCAGGAGAATTACTCGAGCCCCTGAGTTCAAGTCCAGCCTGGGCAACATGGTGAAATCCAGTCTTTACCAAAATTAGCTGGGCATAGTGGGGTATGCCTGTAGTTCCAGCTACTAGCAAGGCTAAAGTGGGAGGATCACCTGAGCCCAGGGAGTCTGAGGCTGTGGTGAGCTGTGATCATCATGCCACTGCATTCCAGCCTGGGCGACAGAGTGAGACTGTCTCACAATATAAATAAATAAATAAATAAATCAGAGCTGTGTCAATAATGCAAATCTTTTTCTGGACTTCTACCTCGGTGTATAAAAACCATTATAATCTAGGACAGTTTCTCAATGCCTCTGAGGAGAAAACATGTAATTGTTACTCTTATTTAGGCTCAAAGAATAACTTCAATTTCTTCATTGATAAATACTAATGAAAGGGAAAGACAATTTCATCATTAAAAAAAAATAGACACGAAGATGCTTTCTCTAAGCTTGATCATCTCCTTCTCAAAACACTCACAGGAGATCATGCAGATGCCTCACTTCATTCACATAACTGCCACTTACTCTTGTGCAATAAAGAGTTCTGGAATTTTTATTTTCCCATATTCCAGAAAGTGGTTCAAATTTAGGGTGTTTTGTTTTGTTTCGTTTTTAAATCAGAGCCTTCTTATCTATCCACACATGATTAATGCCACAAGACTAAAGCAGTAACTCCAGATAGTGCTTTAGATCTACTTTTACAAACACTGTGTCATCTAATCCTCACGTTAATCCTGTGTATTCTGTGTGGAAACAGAAGGCCAGAAAAGTAAAATGAGGTGCTCAAATTCACAAAGCAAATATGTGGCCAAGACAGGATTCGTCCTTATGTTCCCTGGTACTACAAGGATCCCTTTAAACTTCTGAAAAGGTAAAAACTTTGGTCAGTTATCTAAATGTTTCTGAGACTATGGTTGCCTGGAGCTATGTAACCACAGATTAAGTATCACTCAATAAAAATGGTGTGCAATCAATCACTTACTCCTATCTCAGGAGAGACTCGTTTTGAAGAATTGTCTATTGCAGCATTTGTCATGTCTCTAAGGCATATTTCCATTGCTCAATCAGCTCCAAAGGACAAGTGTGTCATCATCTTTCAAGGCTCTGGTGCAACAAATTAAAATTGTAGAATTCACACAGGACTAGGTCTGGCACTAAAAGCAGAAGGCATATTCAGCTTGAGCTTGTGGAAGCTTCCCTTCGATCTTGCCAATTTCTACTAGTGGAAATGGTTTCAAAGCCAGCATGAGGTTACTTGGGGTTGCTTGAGGAGCTCTTGATAAAAAAAGAAAAGGGAATAATATAAAGGGGTCACAGCAATGATGGAGCCTTGGAAAAAGTATGGAAGTCTTCTTTGGGCATAGTGGCTAAGTGCAGTGGATGGAGCCTTTAATCTCATGAATATACTCAATCTACCTGGACATCTGAGTCATTCACATTAAATGTGCCACTTTTTCTTCAGTAGCAGTAACAACCCCCAACTTCACTTTGCCTATGATGAGGAAGAAGGAGCAACTAAGTGGACTACAGTACCCAGGTGAAATACCTCATCTCCACAGTGTTTCAACTCCGCTGGCCTTGGCTAATGATGATCAGATACCCAATTTATTTTTGTCTGTTTTGGAAGGGGCGGAGTAATTATTTAAGGGTCATTTACAAAATGTAATAGGAGTAACAATCATAGGTCTTTGGCCATTAGGAGCTCCCATTTTTAATAGAGAAGCAGTGCTTATGAAGAAGAAGTAGCCAGAGACCCTATAAGACAAGGGTTAAATTATTAGTATAAAATATAATGTTTTAATTGCTAATAATTCTATTCTGCATTATGTTAATTAGGAAGAAAAGTACTACATCATTCTTTTAGAGGTAATTAAGATTCAAAAAAAATTAAATTCAGGGTAAATTCAAAGCATAAAAATAGAGATTAGCACAGAATGAAAACTAACTTGAATCACATAACCATCCTCACCACAAATAGTACTTGCCTCTCAGTTAACCTATTTGTTGATATTTGTTGTACTGCATTCTAGACATGTTCTTTTCAAATAGACAAAACTATCAAATTTTGACTCAAGAACTATTTCACAGTATAGCCAGGACATTTTGCCCTGAGGCAGGCTAAATTAATAACGAAGAAAGATAGCAACAATTTTTATGGCTTGCAGAAAAACAGAATAACAGCATTTTATAGAATAAAACAAAACTCCTAGTTAAGAGGCTTAGATGATATAAATATATGTTGAATCAAATGACTGTAATAAAACAATATTTCAGGAAACAATTTTTTACTAGTTTTTAATAAGCTTGATATTTTAAAAGCTATGATTAATATGTCCAAACTTAAGGCTTCCAGGAAAATTAAAAGGTTAAAATGTAAAGCCATTCATTTCAGCAATTAAATGATTTAATTTTAATGCTTTAGCACTTATATTATAAAACATGAATCACACTAGTTAACAATCTATTTTTACATAGAATCTATGAGAAGGTATCAGATTGAAAAGAAGGTATCTGATTCTGACACATCTGAAGAGAAGTAACAGATAATCGCTTATTTAGCATGCAATAGGCATTTACTGTTTTAGGGACCTCATTTTCTTCATGCGTAAAATGTGATGCTTGAAACATATTTTTCAAGGTTCTGACAAGCTATTCTTCTACAATGCATTAGGCACTATGCTAGGAGGTATCCTAAGAAACCTAAAGAAGAGCATCACTTGGTCCCATACTCTGGGAGCTTACAATTCTTTGGGAGAGCTAAAGTGCACACACAATTATCTAGATTTCAAAGTAGAACAGAAAAGAGCTGAGAGTACTTCAAGAGGAATAAAAGTGCTGCAAGAGAGATAAAAACAGTTATGAGAGATCTGTAACATACAAGATGAAAGGAGGAACAAGTGACCGTTCAGGTCTAAAGAGCCCTACATTTTCTTGGGAAATGTATGCAAGCTCAGGAAATAAAATGAACAAGATTTTTTTTTTATGTATCTTTAATGCTTAAAATTCAGGAAATGGAAGCCATGAGCAGAGATAAAATACAGATTAGATTAGGTTTCCTTTTTTAAAGTTCTGAATATGTTTTTAAGTGAACACCATAGCAGCGACCTAAGCATTAAAACACTGGAGTGTACACATAATATTAAAACAAACATGACTTGGAACACAAACTACAAGAGCAATTTTACCCTTACATAAATGCCCCCATGTCCCCAATAGCTGTATCTGGAAGAGACTTTACCTTGTGATATGTTTGCAGACAGTGTATCAGTGAAGGAATCGCTTTCTGGGTCAAGTGGAGAATCTCCCAGAGTTTCACCCATAACAGCATGGAATAGGGGTTTGCTGTAATTCACACTGATATTTTGTCTATATCTAGCAAAAGATCAATCCGTTAAAAGAAAAAGACTTGAAGTAACAGAATCTGTGAATACACCCATCAGTTAAGACATCAGTTTCCAAATATTTGGGAAAGACAGGAATAAACACAGAAAGGACTGGGCCTGAATTGGCTGGCACTGTCCTGTTGGAAGCCAGCTCTGACAAAACGTTGTGTCATAATGTTGTTCACTGCTTTGGCAAGACTTGGTACATTACAGGGAAAATAATATTGCCACACTGTCTCGTCAGTGACCCACATGTTGAGTGTCTTGTGAGGGGCATGAACTATACAGTATTTAGAATTCTAAGAGCGGAGATGGTTCAATATCGCCTTGCATTTTTATTGTCATAAAATTCACATCAATTGCTTATTAAATGGAAAACTTTAAATCTCTCGCTTATGAAATACCAAAAAGCTTATTTGGGCAAAGTTTTCTTTTCGTGTCTATTCCTGGTTGAATCTCTAATCACATTATCTGAAGAAAGCTTTGGAATTCAAATATGTATCCATAGTTTAAACATTGGTATCAGCATGCTACTGAAATGTTATATTCCTAAGGTATTTATTCTACTGGTTTGTGAAGTCCAAAATGATACTGACTGCTATCCAAATTCTGTAAAATTAAATAGTTGAGAGAATGAAGAAGGGTTTCAATTTTATATATGATATGGTTTCAATTATATATATGATGTGGTTTCAATTTTATATATCATGGTTTGTTCTCTTAGAAACTTCAGCTTATCCGTCAATTGCAACTGCAGCAAAGTTACATCAGTTGATGTCTGAACATCAATTGATGTTTAAATGATAAGTGCTATGTCATAATGAAAAAATGGAGTTCTCTGTGAGAAGAAAAACATACTACCAGAAAAAAATAGACTTACGCTGTTAGGTTGGCGAGGAATTGTGGTCAGTTTTGTAATCAGGAAAAAAGCTGGCTTCTTGCTCAAGGCCTTTGCCCTTTTTGGCAAGGAGAAACACTAGCTGTGCCAAATTACTGATGTGGGAGCAGGTCTTGTCACATGAATGGCCTAGTGAATTGCAGTGACACTGCGGACTTTCAAAGATGCCCCTACACAGGGCAATTAGTACATTAGAAGGCAATAATTCTCTGAATTATACTTAACCTGATATTACCTGAGTAAAATAAATGTATATCTGGTTAATCTACGTTGAGTAACTATTCATTCTTCAAGGGGACTAGTAAAAGTGTCCCTGTCAATCATGGTGCAAGAGCTTGATGGGGAAACGCTCGCCAGGTCTGAACAGTACAGAATAAAGTGGAGAGTTGGGCAACTGTGACGTTAAGCCCCAAAACATCTTTATTATGGCAATCCAAGTTAAAGCAAAACTTGGGTTTGCTAATTTGTCCAAATGACTGCAGTGATTACAGTTGTGTAAAATTCGTTTTCTCTATATTCAGTTGGATTCTCAATAAAGGACGTTTTCCTTCCCTCCTCATGCTTGGAAATTTACTTATACTACACAGTAATCCAGACGCAATGGCATAATATTTAAGGATATGACAGAATCAAAGATTCTTGTTGAACCTACAATAGGTCAATATTCTTTTATTTTTGTAGAGATGGGGTCTTGCCATGTTGCCCAGGCTGGTCTTGAACTCCTGGGCTCAAGTGATCCTCCCGCCTCTGCCTCTCAAAGTATTGAGATTACAGGTGTCAGCCACTGTACCCAGCCAAAATTAATTAGTCAAGTCAAGAACGCTGTCCTTCTTTTAAATAAAGCAGAACAAAAACTGAAGTCCCAATCTGCCTCTGGATAATACTAGTCAATGTCCCAAGACATGTTTGAGTCTGGAAAGCAAACTTCAACCTTGTTTCCCATGAAGCAGCAGTATTTCCCATTCATGCCCTCAGATTCCAAAGTCTCCTCAACTTTTTAAAAGTGGAGAAGTTTATTAAAATGTTCTTAAGATTGTGCTGGATGGTCAGAATGAGAAAACTGGCAAAATGATCCCACTTCAGGGTAAGAGAAACTCTAAAGCGTTTAACACTCTGTTAAGGTGAGAAAACAGGGTCTCCAAATGACAAATCAATTCTCCAGTTTAAACAGTCGGATAGTGACAGAGCTGGGCCTAGGATCTAAGGATCAGATCTTTAAAGCTCAGGTCAGTTTATGGCCCTCACCAGTTTCTACTCTTAGAAGTGTCTAAATTACCTCTTTTATGAGCAAGCATAGGCAAAGAATAAAAGAAATAAAAATAAAAATAAATCGCCTCTTTTAATATATCAGCACCACAGGAATAGACGTATTAGGCAACTTGGGGAAAAATATATTTACTCTTTTAAGGAATATCAGTGAATAACTGTGGTATTCACTTTCCAATACCAATGGCTATAGTAGGGAGTGTGGTGGGGTGTCTCTCAATGCCCCCCTTCCTCTTGTGGCCATGTTCCATCAATTATGATGTTCACATTCATGCCACATGTCTACCTGGGAATCTTCTTAGTTCTGCTCCTGAGGCCAACAGCATTACCTGGTTCTCAAGTCCTATACCAGTCTCTGTTACTCTTTGGCAACACACAGATGCAGTCTTTCCACCTATCCTCAAAGGGATTCACTTCTGGACCCTTCACCTACTGTTACTTCTATTCTCTTTTTTTCCCAGACACCATTCAACTTATCAGTCTACTGGGTAGTGAGACCTTCTAAGCCTCTAATAGTTCCCACACTGTGTTTTAGCTTCTGAAACATAAGATTACATATTTTTAACAGTTTATTATTCCACAGCATCAGAATCTGATAACACCTACTCCTGTAGGACCCACCACATCCTGTCATTCCGCCTTCCCCCAGACTATGTTTTACTTGAAAGCAAAAATCTGTCTTAACTCATTGTATTTCATGCATTTGTTTGTTCAAAAAATATTCATTGCTAATATAATATGCAGCAAGCCTCAAGCTAGGTGCTAGCGATACAATGATGAACAAGATGGATGTGTCAAAAAAACAGTCAATAAGCAAAAACTACAATTTTAATAAACACAGAGCCTACCAAGTAGCAGGCTCAGTAAATATTGCTTATACTCTTGGCAGCATATACAAACCATGCAACACACAAAGCATCCCTACATTAGTAACAAAACAGTTACACAATATGGATTATTTCATCATATTTTATGTTAATGATAGTCACACTGCAGTGCTAGGTCACTTAAGACATAACTTGCTCACATGGACATTCAAATGGATGAAAATAAAGATGGATGAGCCAGTCTCATTTGTATCTTATTATGTATCTGTTTTGTCTTTAGATACTGAAGAGACTTACTTTTACATTTATCTGTCCCACCATTCATCAAATACCTACTAAGCACCAGGTATTGATCTGGGTTTAGGCGGTAAATAATAAGCCAAGGTTTCTATTCTCAATGAGTTCACCTGTAACTATATCAAAATTATCCAAATGCACCTTTCATTTGCTTAATCTTGAAGGTCAACTGGCATGCACTGATATGAGAAATAATATATTTGTTTAAATAGTATCATTACCATCAGTGGACAGTATGTGATCATCAGAAAATTTCTAAGACATGCATGTGACTATCCCTATCTTCAAAGCCTTAAGATTCCCCCAGCGTCCTGCCCTTTATAATATTGATTTAGAAGGATATTATAATAAGATACATAAAAGAGCACACCAGTGATTTACATGATAAGATCTTAGAACTTTAGACCTTGCTAAGACTGCTTTGCACACCAATGGGTTGTCAGCACTTTGCACGTCAATGCAGCAGCCTATTGCTATTCATCCCATGGACGGTCCCCTTGCAGGAGAGTCCTTCTTAATGTTACAGAGTGAGAAGGAGTGGTAAAAGACCACTTTCCGTCCCAGTTACAGAACAATGATGGGGAGGAAGGGGGTTGGTTAAATCAACCCTCTAAGCAGTTTTCTTCTGTCCCTTTTTTCCAATTAGAGATTTATGGATGTGAGGGATCACACCACCCCCAGCTATGGTAGCCTTGATAAGAGAATCCAACTCTTCATCACCAACCGTGACAGAAGAAATAATGGGGATATGTGGAATTTTTAACAACAGTTAAATGGAAAAGCATAGACAATAACTGTAGACATGATAAAAGAAACATTTGTATGTTCTTAGACTTGAAGTTTGATAAAAGTACCTTTTCATGTGGTGACAGCTGTGTGTTGATTGGCTGGGTTTCTCCTATGTGCTTTATATAAAAATGGAATTGATAAACCATTTTTTACAAAATTTAAAAAAAAAAAGACCACTTTCCTTATGTACTATGTACTTCTGTTGAGGGATGTAGAGCTCTGTGGAGATGGCTCTGTGTCATCTCTCCTTGGACTTTGGAGACAAAAGGGTATGGATGTAACTTTGAGTACAACACCACATCCTCAGCAGGAGAAGGAATGGGGATAACAAGGAATGATTCTATAATGAGGACGGTAAAAAGTTAACTCTACCCCAGTTCATGACATTTGAAAAAATGATATTAGAGAAAGCTACTCTTCAACATCTAGTCTTCAGTATTACTTTATAGAACCTGTCTTTGGCTAAAAGAATCTGAATATTGCTCAGCCAAAAAAACTCTCCACACTTCGGTACTTTTAAGAGAAGGCAATTCAACCAGTAAAAGCTGTGAATGATTCAATAAGAAAAACTAAGAAAAGGTCTAAAATTTATAGTTAGTAGAATCATGGCACTGTACCTATATAAAGTTATTTTTAGCATTACTTGGTGTTGGAATGACTTACATAAAATATTTCCATGATATAGAATATTAAATAGTTTTGGGCTGTATTATTCTTGAAAGCCAATGAAAACTGCTGGGTTTTTTTTTTTTTTTGGCTGTAAATTTGAAATTTATTCTGCAGAATAAATTTGGATTTAAAAAATTGCTTACATTACTATTTCTTTTGTGTGAAATAAGCTATGTTAGTATTGGTATAAAATTGTATGCACAATATATTTTTCTTTTGCTCTAACCTCATTAAAAAACTTGCTTCATTTAATGCTATAAGTGCTAGTAACACTTTTGCTAGCTTCTAAAAGGTTCAGTTTAGATCTCATTGTATCCCTGGAACCTAGCACAGTGTCCCTAGTTGGCATTAAAACACACATACTGTTTTTGTTGATGCTAGAGTGATGAAAGAACAACACTTCCATATCACATGTATCATTCAAGAAGGAGTTTAGAGACCTAGCAAACTGATAAAAGCATTCATTTTCTTTTTGTTCCAACAAGATGTAAATTTCTGGATGATGTTCCAATGGAAGCCTGATAATTGCCAACAACCAGAATGACCACCCAAGCTCACTTCTCCCCCTACCCAAAAGAATGGCTGCCTTTTCCTGGTGCAATTAAGATTGGCTTGGAATCTTATTTTCAAGTGGTGGTTGCATCAGTTCAGGATTTCTTCATAGTCACAGGGGAGGGAGAACATGGGAGAAATGCTGGGCCAATGGGACATGGCTTTGAGAAGAACAAATAATCTTGTATTCTGGACGTAAGTTTCACCACAACCATCACAGCAAGCTGGATATTGCCATAAAAGCAGACAAAGAAAGGTCAATGTTCAATGCATCTGTGCCACTTTTTGAAAAATTTTTAAATTAAAAAAAAAATTTGACAGGGGT